TGTTGATCCGGAAACACCCGAACCGCCATTGAGCACAACAGTCGAACCTTCAGTTAGCATCACAACTGAACCATTAGTGAACATTACCACTGTATCTCCAGTTTACAATTCATCTGAAACATTTACTACTGAAGCGGTTAACAATTTTACGACACAAGCATCCTTAACTGGTTCTTCATTTTCTACTAATTCCACCTTAAGTACTACTGTCTCTCTAACAACTGTTACTCAAACCAATTCATCTTCTACCGTTTCCTCAACGCCTTCTTTTACAGTTCCTTCTTTACCAGATTATACACTTAATTTTACTACTCCAAAACCTGTTGGGGGTTCCCACTCACTTTTAATTTCTAATATAATTGTTTTTATATCTATTTTAACTTATTTTTTTGTTTAATTTTTTGATTAGTTTTTAATTTTATTTGTTTGTTATTTTTTTTGTTTTTTTACTTTTGTTGTTTTCAGATTTTCATTATTTGCTGTTTTATCAAATTTTTACGCAAATTGCAGTTTATTTAAAATGAAAAAATGTTTTTTGTAATATACAAAAAAGTAATAATAAATTTACAAAAATTACAATTATGATAATTGTTTTTTGAATGAAAAAATAATTATAAGGCAAATTAGGGTGACGATTGAATGTGTTTGTCTTCCAAATCATGTGTGAGTTTTTGACTAGTTAAAAAATGAAAAAAATTGTGATTGGCAAACAACCTAAGTTCTAATGGGAATCTGGTAGTTTTCAATGTCAATACTACGCGCCAGACTGTTGTTGTTGTGACCTTCGTAGATAGTGGCCGGGCGGCCGTTGGCATTCAGATACGGTCCCACCAGATTAGGTGTGCTCGAGTGACTGACCTGGCTGCTGCGGCTGCTGCTGCTTCCGCTTCCACCGCCGCCACTGCCACTGCCGCCGCCACTGGTGCTGCTGTGACTGCTCAGACTAGGTTCCAGCACCAGAGTGGCCGAGGTTAGTCGTGAGTTTGGGTAAAGGTACTCGTCGGCTGGCGAGTGCAAACGCTGCGGCACCAGGGGCACATGTTGGATTATGTGGTAATGGGGATGCTGCTGGGCCGTTAGCTGCTGTTGAGTTTGCAGCTGAAATGCCTGAGTGGGGTGGTGATGAGAGTGATGAGGGTGATGATTATGCTGCTGCTGATGATGATGATGGGCAATATTATTGTTTGTCTGCTGTTGTAAATGGTGGTGGGGTTGCACTTGAGTGTGTGGGTGCTGCAGTAAAGGCTGCACATTGTTGTACGGCACAAAGTTGGGATTGATCAGCGAGAAGCGAGAAGTGGCCGATGAGTTGCTGTGCATGCTCAGGCGTTCCAGCGCTGAAATGTAGTTTTGATTGTGAACGGTGTTCAGGGGGTAGCATCGACCCAGTTCAAAGTGCTGACGTCGCAGTGTTTGATATGTAGTTCGTATGTTCTCCAGCTCTTTGAGAATGTCGGAAAACTTGGGGCGCTCCATGATGTTGTAGCTCCAGCACTGTCTCATTAAGTTGAAACTGAAAGTTTTTGCGTAAAAATCAGCATTAGTTTAAAGGTAAACAAAAGATGATTGAAGTGGTATTTACATTTCATAGGGACACCCAGTTGGCTGCATGAGAGTTTTTCCTTCACGCACATGCTTTAATACTTCTTCGTTTGATAGACCTTGATATGGTTGCTCTCCAAAAACCATCACTTCGTACATGACAATGCCGAATGACCAAACCTAATTTTGTGAAACATTTAATGATTATCAGTAAATTAAACTTTTAAAAAGAAAAAAGTGCTCAACTCACATCACTCTGCGTGGTAAAAACGCCATCCACCAGCGATTCCGGTGCCATCCAGCGAACCGGCAGTAGACCTCCCTCTTTGCGGTAGTAATTTTGCTTGTACAGACCACGCGTCAGCCCAAAGTCGGCAATCTTCACCACACGCTGAGTTCGGTCGAGACTAGAGACGAGACAGTTTCGGGCGGCCAAATCTCGGTGTACTGAGCTGACTTGCTCCAGGTACTTGNCGCTGAGTTCGGTCGAGACTAGAGACGAGACAGTTTCGGGCGGCCAAATCTCGGTGTACTGAGCTGACTTGCTCCAGGTACTTGCAGCCCTTGGCAACGTCAATGCAAATGCCCAACATGTCGTCCATAGTCAGGGGACTGGGCGCATTGAGACTGGGTCGATTGCGACGGAGGTAGTTCAGCAGATCACCTCCTTCCATCAATTCCATGACGATGATCGGTTGTTCGGCGTTCAGACACACACCAAGCAGCTGAAGGATGTTTGGGTGTTTGAACTTTGACATAAACTTGGCCTCCTTGAGGAAGTTTATCTGCTCAGAGTCGCTTGAGCCTTTGTTTAGAACCTAGTTGACGTAATAAGAAACGGTTAGTTTAAAATAAAATCAACACCAGTTTTTTGTCTGCTTACTTTGATTGCCACTTTGGTGTCGGTTTTCTGCAAAATGCCTTCATAAACTTCTCCAAAGGCGCCCTTGCCTAAAACTTTGCCTCTGATGATGATGGAGTTGTCAATTATTTTAATATCGGCAAGATCAACTTGTTCGGCATTGCTGCAATTGAATAATCAAAAATATTTGTTAAAGCAAACAAATAAAAATGCAAAAATTGAATCATTGCAAGTGTACCTGTTAATGTAAAGTGTGTTCAGCTGGTGTGGATGAGAAGGAAGCTCATGCCACGGCCGAAGTTCTATCGGTAAATCAAACGAGCTATTGTCCAGCGACTTTTCCTTAATCTTATAACGGCGCACTGAAACAAAAATACGTTAAACATTAAGTCAATAAAAGTGTAATGTTGTCAACCAAAAATCAACAACAACAACAACAACTCACATGAAAGAAGAGCAATGATGATGAGCAGAATGACAAAAGCGGAGCAGATGGAAATGACAAAGATGAGCATGTTCTCGTTACTCTCCGTCAGATCGTCCTGGTCATACTGAAAGGGCAGAAAGAAGGGCGTCTTGGTGGAGGTGTAGTTGGAGCGGCCGATGCTGTTGCTGGCCGCCAGGCGGAAGAGGTGCTGCTTGCCCGACTCCAGCCCGGTGATCACCCAGTAGGTGTCCGTGCCGTTGTACACCAGATTCCACCTGGAATCGGCCGAGCGCAGAGCCAGGTTTTGAATGCTATTCTGCTGTTCGGAGCTGTTCAAGTCCTCAGTGGACTCCTCCAGCGACGTGTCGTACGGCCCCTCCTCGTAGAGCGTCTCGTAGAGGGCGTAGTAGACGGGCGAGTCCAGGCCGTCGTTGGCCTTCACCTGGTCCCAGCTCACCTTGTAGATGTGCGTGTGCGAGCTGCTGCTGGTGGACTCATCGCCATTGCCACTCCCACTGCCGCCGCCGTTGCTGATCTCCGAAATCTGGTGCATAGTGGGCGTATCGGGCACATCGGCCAGCGTGCTCACCACCAGCAGCCGGCGCGGCCAGGTGTACACCGCCTTGGTGGCCGCATAGGTGAGCGCCATCTGAAAGCGGTAGCGCGTGTTTGGCAGCAGATTGTTCACGCGAAAGTCGTACGTCGAGTTGGGGCGGGTGCTGTTCTTGAGGAAGATGGTCCAGTTGGCGCCGGAACTGCCCTCATCGTTTGCTGAGCTGTCGTCGCCCCCTGCCACGTACAGCTGGTGGTGCTCAATGACGCCGGCCAGCGGCGGTGAGTCCCAGTGAAGGTGAACGGATCGGGCGGAGATGTGGGCCACGGTGAGGGGCGCCGGCTCTTCGTAGGCGCGCACCCGAATCGGCGCACTTTCCATGAACTGGTGGTTGTCGGCGTAGGCGCGCACCGAGACGTTGTACTCCTTACCGGGCTTGATGTTCTCCAGGTACATGAAGTAGGAGCCATGGCGGGTGCGGTCGTTCGAGTGGAAGACCGACTTTCGGTTGAGCTCCACGCTGTACCACCACACTTCGTAGGTGATCTGATTGGAGTTGAGCTTCTCCGGGCGGTCCCAGAGAATAAGGATCTTCTCGGGCGTCTCTACGACGGCGCGGACGTTTCGCGGTGGCCCCGGTCGTGACTCGGCAGTGCTGAAGACGAAGCTGTTGTCGAAGCGAATGCTGCTGACGTACTCGTGGCTGTTTGCCAGGTTCTGCTGGTTTGCCAGTTGCGAGAAGTAGTAGTTGTCCAGCTCAATGGAGAAGGTGTAGTTGGTGTACGGTTCTAGGTCGACGATGGTGAAGGTGTCATTGAAGGAGTCAAATGACTGACACTGCGAGGTCTCGTCGTCGCGTCGACAGTCAATGTGCACATTGTCGAAGTGCTTTCGGTAGCGGGTTCGGTAGCGCAACGAGGCCTGCGACAGGTCGGGGCCACATTCGGTGCTGGACGACGCGTTCTGCAGCACCTCGACGCGAAGTGTCAGGCTGAAGGCGGTGTTGTCCTCCAGGTGTACTCGACTTTGCATGTTATGGGGAATCAGACAGGTCGGGTCGGCCGGACCGGGCTGATTGAGGCGGTTGTAGCTGACTAGAGCGTTGATTTGCGTGCTCTCGGTGTAGCTGATCTTCTCTATCACCTGGCTGGCCAGGGTCGGCGCTCCGGTGCTCGGATCGGCTCGGACAATGACAGAGCGATAGACTGTAGTGGCGCTGGTGTCGTTTTTCCAGTACAGCGTCGACTGGTCAAGTGCCAGTGAGGTGGGCGTGCCCGTGCCGGCAATTGCCGGCGTCAGGCGGCGACACTGGCAACCGGCGAGGTCGGTTGAGGCAAAATGCCGCCCCTCTAGGTCAAAGTACACTAGGCGGGCATGAGGGGGGCGCTGGTCGGCTGAGTTTTTCCCAGAGTGGCCTTCTGAGGTGTAGTCCAGGGCGAAAGCCCTGGCCACGGTGGTGCTGTAGGTGCAGTTGCATGCCGTCGAGTGCTTTTTCTCGTTCCGGCTCGGCAGTCGGGGTTTGTCGTCGGCGAATAGATCACGATAGGAGGAGCAGGTGCTGCCGTAGTTTGCCAAGCGGCACACCTTCAGCGTGGCCAACATCATATGCTGCATTAAGGGATGATGGTGACCAGCACCAGCCAGCCGAGTGGCAGCCGAGGAGGACACCTCTGACCAGATCAGCTCCGAGGTGAAGGGGTTCACGCGAAGACAGGTGATCTCCCGGCCGATGAAACTGGTCACCACACGAAGCTGCGCCGGAGATGTCTGCAGCGTCTGCTGCTGTTCGTTGGTGATGCCGTTGGTAGGGGCGTCAAGTCTGCTCAGGTCCAGCATCCAAATGGTGCTCTTGTTGTGGTAACGGTCCAAGGTGGAGAGGTACAGGCGACGGCCGATCCAGTCCACGGCCAGGCCGGTGGTTTGCTCGTGAAGCTGAGCAATTAGGGTAAAGTTTGACCCCCCGGAAAGAAGTGACGCCCTCTTGAGGAAGTTGCCCTCCTCCAGCCAGTAGACGAGGCCCTCGCCGTAGAGGTAGTCCACCAGCTGAGCATTCAACGCCTTGGTGACCAGCTCGTTTTGACGCAAGTCCATATCGGCCAGCAGAATGCCGTTCGACTCGGCCAGCAGCAGGCGTGAGGGCGAGGCGTCCTGGTAAGTCTTAAACTGAAACACCTCACTGGGCGGCCCCTCACCGGACTCGGTGGTGGCGCGAACCTCAAAGTAGTAGGTGGCATTGGGGAGGAGGTCTTCGAAGCGGTAGCTAAGCTGGTTTTCAATCACCTTGCTCCGCAGGTTGTCCTTGTTGTTGTACATGGCGTTCCACAGCGAGACGGTGTAGCTGAGAATGATGCCGTTCGGGTCGGCGGGCGGGCGCCAGCGAGCCTCGGCGGTGATGCCCGTTGACTGGCTGTTGCTGGGGCTGCCACTGATTTCAGTGAAGACTCGAATGTCTCGAGGTTTGGAGGGAATGGAGGCGGGCGTGTGCAGCGTCAGCACCACCTGCCTGGCCGAAGCCCAGTAGGTGAAGGGCCGAATGGCAACCTTAATTTTAGAGTACGGTTTTAGCGGCTTCAGGTGATTTGGGTAGTTGTAGCGTGTCTCATTGAGGACGATGTTGATGCGTTTCAGGTGGTGATCCTCCAACACCAGGTCGTAGAAGACTTGGCCGTAGTTGACGTTGAGCACCGGCGCCCAGAGGAGGGTGAAGTTCTCCCAGGTGCCCTCAAGCTCCACCTGCTCAACGTTGACCGGCTCGGGAACTACACAGCGCGTCGCGTTGATCAGATTCGGCTGGTAGTCGATCACATTGAAGGCGCTGACGTCCTTCAGCTCCTTAATGGTGGCAAAGGCTCTCGCCTGCGAGTCGCTGATCTTCACCTCATTGCTCTCGGTGCTCCGCCAGAAGAGGCGATCAGCGAAGGTGGCCACCGGACCGATGAGACTCCAGTCGGGCAGTGTGGTGATCACCACCGGTTCCAATGGAGTAATTGGAGCCAAAGGTAGCTCTAGTAGGCTGCTGCGAAACAGCTGCGACTCGCCCTGGCTGTTGAGGGCGATCCAGTAGAGCAGCCGCTCTGCGGAGTTCACGGTGATGCTCTTAATTTCCGCCGCTCGCACCAGTTCGCCCTGCGACTTTTGGGCGCCGTTCAGCAGCGAGTACTTAATCGAGTACATGGTTGACCAGTAGAGGACGCCATTCAGAGAGTCGAGTGCGATCTCCTTGGCCGCCGTGATGATCGGCAGTATCTCCGGCTGAGTGCCGTCAATGTTGGAGCGGCAAATCTGCAAAAGAAGAAAAAATGGTTCAATATTAGACTAGTTGACAAAAATAGTAATCACCACCACAACCAAAAACCTACCATTCGCTCAAAAGGATTAGACCAGTAGAGCTTTCCGGCGTACCAGTCCACCTTGATGGAGGCGGCGTTGGTGATGTTCCCAATTCGGGTCAGGCCACCGCTGCCACCACCCGACTGATTGAACAGCATGATCGCGTTTTCCGTGTTGAGAACGAGCAGCTCCTTGTACCAGGCGATTTCGCTGATGGCTTCACCACCACCACTGTTCAGCTTGCTCCGCGGAAGTAGTCGGTAGTGCAGCTTTCCAGCGAGGTCCGTCTTCAGCAGACCGCCATCCCGGGTGGCCACCACGGCGTAGGGCGTGCTGGCGCCACGTGAGCTGAGTGAGGCCAGCGTGGCGCCGTGGAACATCGTTGACCAGCTGCCGCGCCCTGAGGCGCTCCACGCCCTCACCTTGATCGAGTAGTTGGTGTTCGGCTTCAGCTCGTCCGCCACGCAGCTGGTGATGTTGTTGACCTTGGCGAGGTGGACCACACCGGTCGCCGTCTCCTCGATGCTCACCTCGTAGTGCCAGTCTTGCCAGGCGCCTCGGCCGGAACCGCCGAAAAGGGTCGGTTTCTCCCAGGATATCTTTGCAGTGGTATCTAGAAAGACGGCCTGCACCTTCTCCACAGGGTTGAGCGGCACCGGAAACGGCTGCCCCTGACTGTCCATCACAAGCAGTGACACCAGACGGGCGTCAGTGTCGTAGGAGTAGGCGTTGTGGTAGTACTGCCGGTCCTCCTCGAGGTAGTCCTCTGAGTAGATGCTGCTGCCGTTGGTGAAGTACAGGCGACGGTCAAAGATGATCAAATTCTCAATGTCGACGAAGGTCTCCGGACTGTTGGAGTTGACCTCGTCGCGAATCGCCTCGGCGTCTTTCCCGTCAATGGTGATCGAGTAGATGCGCGCCCCAACCGGAAAGTAGATCCGGTAGTCGAAGTAGCTGACGGCGAAGGTGTTGATCCGCCGGCTCTGGTAGATCATCTGCGCAGAGGCGGCGTTGATCGGCCGGTGAGTTGTTCCGCCATGAGCTGCTGATGCTGTTCCCAGGTCGGCGAGGTCGACGCGGTACAGGCCGGTGGTGGTGGATGAGCTGGCCGACTCTGCGGCGGCACTGCTGTGGTCAGCCAGCCAGAAGAGGTAGCCATTGTAGGGGTCGACCTTCATGGCGTGCGGTCGCAGCCCGCCCCTAAAGCCGCTCACCACCGGCTCCATCTGCTCACCGTCGAGGTTGCAGCGGCTGATGCGCCCATCCTCCACCAGGTACAGCCGGTCGTTGAGCCAGTCAATGGAGAGGTGGCTGGGATTGTTGCTGCCGTTGATGATGCGCACCACCTGGTTGATCTCCTGGCTGTGGTTCTCCTTGATCAGCACCCGGCGAATGGTGCCGCTGGAGTCGGCCACAAAGAGGTACTTCTGGCGGACGTGAATGGCCATGCCGGTGATCTCGTGATTCTCCGCATAGTCCGTCAGGTGGTAGATGATCTCCTCCACGGAAAGGGAGTGCGGATTCCGCCAGCCGACCTCGGTACTCGAAGCGATGAAGAGCTTCATCGGCTCAGCGGTGGTGGTGGTGGAAGTGGCTGGTTGCTTGTCAGTAGAGTTGTTGCTGCTATTCAGTGCTACCTCCAACTGTGAGTTGAGCGGCGCATTTTCACTGCCATTTTCAGCGTCTTTTTCCACCTTGGGAAGTGTGCTGATGCGACGCTCGGCCAGCGGCCCCTCGCCAAAGTTGTTGAAGGTCACAATGGAGACAGTGTACTCTGTGTCCGCCTTGAGGCCGTTGAAGACGTAGTTCATCGTCGGCGCCTGTCGGCTCTGCAATGGTTTTCCGTTCTGATGATGATACTGATGCTCCGAGTGCATTTGCAGGTCCTTCACAACCCGGTGACTGGTGGAGTTGTCCTTCAGGTAGAGCGTGTAGGCGATGATGGGCCCGTTGGGGAAGTGCGGCCGTTGCCAGCTGACCGAAATCTGGTGATCGCTGATGGCCAGACAGGAAGTGATCAGACAGGGCGTGCTCGGCACTCCGTAGGGCAGCGTCGTCAGCGGCTCGCTCACAGCGGAGAAGAGCGAGATGCGCAGCCAGGGCACTATGACCCACTCGATGCGAAACTGGTAGGAGGTGTAGGCGTTCAGGCCGCGGACTAGCTGGCGGTTTTGCTGAACGCCATTGCCACTATTTCCACTTCTGTTTCCGCCGCCTCCTTTCAGATCACTAATGGCGTACGTCCACGTGGAGGAGATGTTGCTGTACTTCATCTGCACGCGGTAGGTGATTGGCTCTCCGCTGAGAAGAGAACCTGAAACAGCCGCCGCCCACTCGACGGCCATCGAGTCATTGCTCAGACTGCCGACGACCAGTTTGGGCGCCGGCGGAGTGCCCAGCACCGCCTTCACCTGCTCCACGTAGACGGTGTGGGCGTGGTTGCAGCCAATGGCACAGTAGATTATCTGCACCGTTACAATTGTGAAAAGAGAGTGTAATTAAAAAGATTTTTGTGTCAAGCAAAAAGGTGTGCATACCCAGTTGTCAATGATTGACGTGTTTTGGCATACATCAAAGCAAGAAAGCGGTCGTTGGTGCCAAAATTCGCAGCCTATTTCACACTAAACAAAATTAAATTGAAAGTTAGTTTGATAAAGCGGTGTTAAAATGATTAGTTATAGCATTTTTTTAATTAAGCAACTAAGCATCTTTATAATTGACTTTTTTAATTGTGCACGTTTCAAAATTACAAAATTTTGTTATGGAAAAGTGCGCTATGTTAACATCGATTACATTTAGACAAATAAATTTTTCAAAAAAGTTTTGTGTTTATGACACTTGTTTCAGTTCTGTACCCGCACTCTACTTAAACATAATATTTTTTAATTGGCAACAACAAGTCAATTAATTATTTAATAACGATAACTACAACAAATGAAAAAAATGTTTAGTGATAGCTTTCACTGCCAGTGCACTTTGGTGCACATTGGTGCTTTTTAGCTCCAAAACATAGGTGTTGTCTTTGGCACCGAACACTGAAGGCAGTAAAAAGAGAACTGCCAACTGAGATTGACTAGGTAGATTCCTTTCACATCACTGGCAGTGATCTGACTGACTGTGTGAGCAGGGTGAAAGTGCAACAACCACTGACTGATGTGCTGTGTTGTGCAGTGTGTTGACGGTGAACTATTTTTGGGAATGGATCGCCCGGCCTGGCCAAGCCTGTAAAAAAAGTTGATCACCATCAGCATCCACATCAGCTAAGAGTGAGGGCAGTGACGGGGGCACTGCGGGCTAACTAAGGCAACGATGAGGGGAACTGGCTAGGTGAGAAGGACTTATTAATTGAGCGATAATGCGCACCAAAGAAGAAGGGGGCAGTGTGCACACACTGCAAACACTGCACTGATAATTGGCCAAACGCTGAGCTTTAATGAGATTGAACACTACCCTCAACTAGAGAGAGAGAGAGAGTGAGAGAGAGAGAGAGAGAGAGAGCTTGTGTACTGAGCACCGTAGAAAAATCTGCTGACCAACCTGAGTAAGTCAAAAGTGGCTAGCAGTCGTTTTAGCCCTGGTAATGAGCACACCGCACATTGGCACACTGGGTGAGAGAGATCAAAACAGCAGAAAACAGTACGTGAAGAATAGGCAAGCTAAACTGATCTCAATTCACCTTAACCCGGATCTGCCGGAGTGACCAGACACCGGAGACAGGCAGTGAATCGGAAAAACAGAAGAAGATGACCCACAAGTGAGCTTGAGCAATTCGGACGGAATAAGGAAACAGGGCGCAGAGAAGGAAAGAAAAAACTTTCTAAAAAATGATTTCAATTACGCCAGATGTTTAGAACGCCAGTTGCCTGTTCTAATTACTAATGAGCCGTTTACTACCCCCATCAAGCACAGGCAGATTTACTTTCTTATAAAAAAATGTTAACATAGCTTTCTATTACCAAAGTTATCTGCAGTGGATTGCATTATAAATTTCACTTTAAATCCTCAAGTGACTTGAGTGCATGGCTTTTTTTAATATAATTTAATAATCAATAGAGAACGGAAATATGGAAGAAGAGCAATTGTCATAAATGAAGAGTAGCGTTACCTTGACATCTGTTGCTGTCGGTGCTGTTGTGAGAAACATAACAAACAGAGGGAAAGGTAACCCCTATTTTAATGTTGCTTCTTTTGGGCACATTCAAACGCTCACATTCAGTTTTCTGACAAACTTTTGAATTGCCTGCTTTCCCTGGCAGTGTTCTCTGGGCAATCAGTGAACGCCCTTCCTTCCGGCGCTCTTCCTCACCCTCTTTTTTTGCAACTGGCAATTGGAAATTGGCAAGCCAACGCTTCCTGCCGCCTCCACAGGTAGGCCCTCTACTATTTTTGCCCCTCTTGTTTTCCTTCTCTTTCTCTCACTCATTTTTACCGTCACATCATCTTTCTCTTTTTCCTTCCTCCCTTAGCTTCCTCAACAGTCTGTTGATTAATTTTTAGTTTTTGCAAAGAGGTACGCGTCCGACAAACCGCAAATCAAGCCACAGTATGTGTAGACGAGCTTCACTTTTGTCTATCTACTGTGTCCACCTACACCCGAAACAAGCGCCGCATAGAGTGAGTAGGTAACTCATTAAACAAAAGACTGCATCAAAATCAGTGAAAGTCAAGAGGCAGCAGCTTTTAATGACACAAATATGTGATGGGTAACAACAGAGAGAGAAAGAGAATGTGGGTGAGTGCTTCACAGAATAAATAGAAAAGAGAAAGTCTTTCATTCACAAAAACCATTTTGCTGCATGCACTCACTCACATCACTGTGCCACTTCATTCATCGATTTTGTTTGTGCCTGTGTGTGTGCTTTATCGATTTAGCTCACTAGTAGTAAAAAAGCTCCTCTTAGCAGTAGATATCACGAGTTTACGAGTGAAAACCACTGCAAACACACCTTTTCCGCACCGATTGAGGTAGTGACTAGTGTGACCGTCAATTGGTCGACTTTGTTTTATTTCACAGGCTGTCGGACACATTTGGTTTGCCTTCACTGACTGACTGACTGGCTGAACCCCTCACATGGCGTGCTCAATTAGCGCAAATTGAAAGCGCACGCCTTTGGACCGGGGCAAATGCATCAGCGTCTAATTGAAAGAAGCCGCTCACTCTCATTTTTTGTTTACCTCATTGGCTTACTATTTGCTAGTGTGACTTTGACCATCAGCATTTGCCGCTCACTTAAAACAAAGCACACTTAATTAATTAGTTAAACAATCAATAGGTAGAAAGACGAGCACAACACAGTGCTAGATAGTGCAAAGTACACGCAGGCAATCTACGCTGCATCTTATTGAATGGAGAAAGAAAGAAAAGAAGGCGGCAAAGGTTGTTGGTATATAAAGTAGTCTAGTGTGGTATTGTTAGTGAACTGAAGTTCAGCATCATTTACAGAAACAGTATTCTACACACACACACACATTCATTCATTCATTCATTCATTCACAAGTTTACGGGAAAAAAGTTCTGCATTTAAGGTGTGTTCTAGTAGACAACTAGTAGTGGACTTTGTGTTTGCGCCAATGTGGAATGCACATCACCTGTCGCTCTAGAGCATGCAATCGATTCAACTCTCTCTCTCTTTCTCTCTCTCTCTCTCTCTCTCTCTCTCTCTCTCTCNTCTCTCTCTCTCTCTCTCTCTCTCTCTCTCTCTCTCTCTCTCTTTCTGTTGGGTCACTGTGCAGTTTACTGGTTGACTGATTACTGCTCGCTGACAGACTCACTACTCACTGTCTGCCTCTTTTCTTTCATTTTTAATGCTGAGTGCACCTAAACTGACCAAGACAATGTCTAGTGGTGGTGGCAAGCAGAAACAATCGACATGTTGCTGTAATCTAAATAGATTAAGGGGTTTACACGCATCGATCGTGTAGTGAGTGAGCGGGGTACGGCAGCCCTTCTTCTTCTTTTTCTTCCTCCTTCTCTTGTCTAATAACATTACACTACACATTGCTATGCTAACTTCTTGAATGCATCAGCAGTGTTGGTGGGTTAACTGGCTTTGTTCTTTGAGAGAGAGTATGAGCGCTCTTTTTCCTCAGTCTGCTGCGAGGAGTTGTGACTGACAGGTCACTGCTCACATTTCTTTCTTTTCTTCTGTTGTTGCTACTTAATGTCCATTACAGTTAGAGCAGCGGGGGTCAGTGCAACAGCAGCAAAAAAGAGGATGACCACTGCTTCAATGTGGTGAAGTGGTGGTGGTGGTGGTGGTCAGCCACTAGTAGGAACACTATGGCGCATAAAGAATGGCTAAGTGAATGATGGACGGAGTGGCAAGTAAACAGAGGCAAAGGCAAAGGCAACGGCAAAACGATGAGCACTGGTCAACAGAACGCTGCGCCCAAGGTCGATAAGTTGCCTTCATTAAGGTGCACACACACACATATTTCCTAGCTCTCCCTCATTTCCATCATAGGATTTTTTCCTCCTTCAATGTTTCCGTTTGGACAATTATTGTCCGTTTGTGTGTGTGAACATCGGAGAACTTTGAAGACACAACACAACGGCAACTGCACTAAAAGATGTGCTTGCGTGCACTTTGAGACTTGCCGCTTGCAAGCGCGTTTTTTTGCCATTCTCAATTGAGAAGAGTTGTTCTGTTTTGCAAGGTAACTGCCAAGAATTAGTAGTAGTAGTAGTTGTAGTAGTAATGCGCAATGTTTGCTATGTGTGCCATTAAACTAGACAAAACAACAGAATGTAGCATCATTCTAATGACCATTGATGTTCACTTATCAACAATAAAAAAATACCAAATTGCATTACATTGTTGTTAACACTGTTGTTGATACTTATTTGTTGCAGTTGCTAATAAAGTCCACTTTCAAACATTTGTAAACAACTTGCAATTGCACTAACATTTAAGAATAATTGTGTTATATAGCAAAACTATATAACTCAGTTTTGAGATGCGCACTAAACATAGAAATGCAACAAATTGGAACACACTGAACAGTACTTGCTTACTTAATAATTGTCAAGTTTGTCAACTTTTTGTGTCAGCTTGGCTCAGGCGGCAATCCCAGAAATTTCGCCGTTGTTTGTGACTCAAATCGCATGGTATTTCCGGTCTGCGCCGATCAACTGCCAATAGGAGCAAGTGGGGTGACTAAAAGCTGACTACTGACCGAGCAGCATCACTATCGGCTGGCAACTGCTGCTGCAATAGTTGGCTGCAATGTCAAAGTTGGCCCTGTCCAATTGAACCTAATCACTAGCGCATCCAATGTGTTTCACTGCTAATGGTGTGGCACGCGCAGTGATGACAGGACAATGTCACGAGAGCGATGATTTATGAATCGAAGATTAGAGGCAGCAACAACATCAGCAACAGGAGAAAAATTGACAGAAGCAATTCCACAGGAAGTCGGTGACAATCAGAGATATCAATGCAAATTGAGAGCGAATGATGGCCGATGGGGAAACTAGAAAGGGGATAAAACAGCAACAACGGCAGAAAGTAGGCTACGGGAAGTAAATGCAGCAGTCAGCGGCGTAATCAATGAAACTTAAGTTGATGATCTGAAGCGTCGGAAGAAAAAGATGGGCAGTATGTCAAGGAGACAACAAGTGCAAGAATGTGCATCAGACTTTTTGTGCCAGTCGAGTGAGTGTTGCCGAAAATATCGATTTCCTGTTGTTGCTGCAATGCTTAAAAATATATCGATGTTCAAAATTTCTGAAACGACAACGACGACGACGACAGTTCACAAGGCTTGGCATCAGATGATGATGCAGAGCAAAACGATAGCAAAAAACTAGGCAAATCAATTATCTTCTGCTTAGACCGCGCATTCTTAACGCATTTTTCACTTGTTTCAATCTCTTTTTTACACTGAAAAAGGGCATTGTGTGAGCGTAGTGTCGGGAAAAAGATGAAGTCATCATCATTTTCTCTAGCAGAGAAAGCACTCAAAAGGAATAAAAAGAAAAAAAAGAAGGTGTGTCAGTGCACTCACACCGACACTGTCTTTCTTTCTTTCTTGTCACCGAGTCACTGAGAGTCACTATCACTGTCGGCAATGCGTGCTCATCTCTCTGCTGCAGTTCGTATCGATTGCACTGTGCCCCAGCCTCATCCATTGATTATCTCCTGCTGCGTCAATTGCATAATCAGGTGCTCCATCACCGGCTGGTAGGTGTTGGCACTGGCACAGAAACACATCACAGCATTGTCAACCAGCCATTAGCCGCCTAGAGAGAGTAGAGCACAGTGCCCCAAATGACGACCTTTCACCTCTCTGCTCACTACTATTGTCCACCAGGTATTGTCTGTGATTGACTGACTGGCTGGCAACATCTGATTCCGAGTGTATGTATTTGCACCACTAGTGAATGAACGCCGGCCACGCATTCACAACTTGCGCACCAGCACACACACTTGGCAAGCTCATTTTCCCATCGAATTACGCGCCGACTATTGAAGTGAAGCAAGTGGCGCACTATGCCGGTTGTCTGTTGTCTGCTAGGAATCAGCATCAGCAGCAACAGCAGCAGGGCCAGCGTGTGATTAGCGTAGCAATTTGCCCAAAATCACTGGAAAAATGACTGGGCACTGCCGTCAGTCAAAGGCAATCACACCGCAGCTTTTTTCAGCCGCGCTTTGTCGGCCAATGCCAATTGCTTACCACTGCTGCTGTTTGGGCTGATAGTGCTAGTTAGGGCTATTCACTTTGTAGGCTTGGTTCAGATGCGCATACGGCATATGGCATCTGTAGCATGCCAATCGGTGTGTAACTTTGAATATTCTCTTTGATTGCTTTTCTACTGATTGCGCAAAATAATTTGATTTTCAAAACTAGAAAAAACATTAGTTGTGTCAAGCAAGTGGCAAGTTGTTTAACACGTAAAATAGAAAATTTTGCAAATAAAAACAATATGAGTTACTTACTTGTTCAATTTTGCACGTTGAATTGCACGCAATGTCAAGATCGTCGTCAAGATTCTGTAAAATAAAAAACAAAATTTTAAAATTTTTAGATTTTTTATGTAAACTGTTTTATTCAAACATTATAAACTAAATTGAGAAAAAACTCATAAACAATGAGGAGTGGCTAAAAATAATAAAAATGTCAATGCTAAAAATGGTCAATGGGCAATAAAATGAACACATTTGAGTGCACTTGAACAGTGTGCATTTTACTACCTTACCAATTTAATTGCCAATTAGTTTGACAGTAAAAAAGTGAGGAAGAAAGAGAGTTAATAAAGCAAACCCTAGACAGGAATTTGGAGGTGTCACTTGCAAGAGCGCAACAATTGACCATTGACCAATGGCCACTTTCAGAGGAAATAAGGTTGTAGCCCAGTAGTCAAGCCCAGTAGCTCGGTCAAGTGTGTGCGTGTGGCAAAAGCAGCAACAACCGGCAAACTCACCGGTGACAAGAGACAGTGCCACAGAAACTGCAAAAGAAAAGCACACAAAGGCTCACCGAGTGGACAGTACTGACCTGTGTGACACCATCTGCGCAGCAGGCATTCGTCTCTTACCTACTACTTTTTACTGCCTTTCACAACTAAACCCCCTAACGTGTTCTTACAATTTGAACAAAAATGTGATCGTTTATAAATGCAAAATTGAAAAACTTGAAACGGCGTCAGGTTTCAAAATAGATATTTTAAAACATGTTTTTAACAAAATTGCATTGATTAAATGAAACAGTAAAGCAATAAATAGTTTACCAAAAATTTATTTACGATAAAAATGCTATCTAATCATTTACAGTTTATTTATTAAAAACATAAAAACATTGTTTTGGATGGTTCAGCCACTGATGCACTTCTACTTCTGCTGCAATCAATATCAATTAAGAGCAAATATTCGTTTTATATAATTGAATAAAAGCCATATCAAAACAAAATCAGCACAAAAATGGCTTGTCGCATGTTTAATCTGCAGTCAATCTAAGTTGAAAACATCTGATCAGACAGTAAACTGTTCGTTTTTGGCTTTAAGTATCATATTTGCTCAATAAAATGTTAATCTTTTTCAACCAGCTGCAAACTTGTTGCAAACTTAGTCAGTTTCAATTTCAGATAATCCAATGCTTCAGAACAAACTGTTGAAAACATCATTTGTAAAACAATTAATTCATTATGACACTACAGCAAAAATTAGCCAATTTATTCAACAAGCAAAAAAATACTGTTGTTCTGACAGCAAGTACAAAGACGACTTTGCAAGCTTGGCAGTATTATTACTGGTAGTAACACACAGAGTTTGCAGATTTAATCTCACCAACTGTTGCGATGACAAATGAAACAGTTACACTCGCCTGGTAATGCCAATTGATGCGCCCAGTGCTGGTGCTGATAGACAAAAGCAATTACTCATCTCATTACACTGCCGTTTGCTATTGGCCTTGTGCACTGCACCAGTGTTGGTGCTCAGCTTGTCTGACTTTGGCATTGAATGTCCGATGCACTAATACTGAGAAAAAGTAGACTAAAAGATTGAAGAGACCAACTGTTGATGAAATGGCCATTGGACGGCCAGAGACGTTTGCCTGGTGACCAGTGCAAGCTCAAGTTGCCAACACACAGACATACATACAGACACTGACAAAGCCGACGACAGTTAACAGAAAGAGACAGGCGATGTAATGCATCACTGGGTAAAGTGATACTCAGTGCACCGACTCAGCTGTAGGCCAATACTGTGGGCAACAGCAACAGCAGGAAACGGGAATTTCAAGCTAATTTATTGGACCATTTGTTTGTCGCAGACGAAGATCTGATCAAGAGGGTCGGCTCGTTCTCTCTTTTTTTCATTTTTTTCTCAGTTGTCTGCAAAGGAAGATTAATGCACAGGCTCATAAAACCGGGAAAAATGTCTGCATTCGGCAGACAGAAAATGCAGAAGATGCCGAAGAGCAAGTATTTGTCATGCACGTGTCGTGAAGTACTCCAATTGGCATTTTATTATGGCAATTCCTTCCCAAACTGTCACTTCCGTGCACATAAGAAAAAAGGAAATATTTATATGTGAGTGAGTGTGTTTGTTGTAGTTTGTAGACTTTTTAGATGATTTGCAATCGAACATTGCGCGCACACACACACACACACTTTCCATCACTCAACAGTGGTCAGTGTGGCAGCTGAGCGCATCAGCAGTGGCAAACAGACGCCCGGCTTAAGCCCGCATCTGTTGCACTGTTTAACAGCCTTATAAATGCAGTTATTTATTAGTTTGCTAATGGGCGTTGTACAGTCAAAGCAGGGCAAAACAGAACCGTCGATTCGAGCGATCACCGAGGTGATCAGCTGAGGGTGAAGTGGTCTAGTGGTGGCATGCAAGCAAACTGCTGCTATGTCTGATATTCCACTAGCCAAGACAAGACAAGACAAACTGTGATGCACATCGACGGACTGACTGGACCGACCGACCGAACGTCCGACGAGCAGCGGCAGCGGCAAAACGACTAAAGTTATCGCTTTAAAAAGAAACGAGACTTAAAAAAGAGACTGTCCAATGAAATCGACGCGCTAATTCGGTGAAAAGGAGAAGTGGAGAGGGAAAGAGATTCACTGATCGCCACAACTAGCAACTGCAAACACATCAGCGGAAAGAAATGTTGTAGTAGTAGTGTGATCAAGACGTCACCACCGTTTGGGTGAGGCCTGCAAAGGGAAACGATGAAGAAGGTAAAAGACCAAGGTAGGAAAAAAAGAGAGGAGAAAAAGAAGATAGAATTCAGTGTATGCAAAGGAAAAAATCAGCGGCGCAGACAGTGGTCTGAGTGGAGTCTCGGCAGACGGCGTCAAAATTGCCATTCAACAGCACTGACAGTCAGTTGATGCCAGTGATGGTAGTGATAAAGGAAGAGGAGACCGGGGTGACAATGCCACAAAAAATTAAAATAAACAAAAAGGAGGAAACCAGGTAGAATAAGGGGGGGACGAAACGGGGATCTGCTCAAGTCAGTAAAAGTATCTCAAGCACCACCAAGGTGGTCGCGCAACTTAAATGGCTAATTACATGTGACAGTAAACTCAATTGACTGATTTTTAATTATATACTAGGGGCATTAGTTTAGGTGCTTCGATAAAATGAACGCAACAGCAGAAGAAGGATAGACGACAAATTGTTTGCTTAGAAAAAACCGATTGATTTTTACGACTGATTAGAGCACTGAGCAAATAAATAAAAGCATTTGAATGTTTTGAAATGTTTGATTAATTGTTTAGCATTATTCGGGTTTAGTACCTCTTTAATTTTTACTATTTGATTAGGGTTTAGATGCTTAGCAATTGTCTTAAATGTATTAAAGATAACTAAAGATAACTTTTCTATATTTTTTTGTTAACGTGTGTTGAATGCAGCTTTCATCTACCAACCTAAAGAATGCCGCCTGCCTAGTGATTGATTACTCAACTCAAAACAGACAAAAAGGGTTAATGAACGAACGAAAGTAGAAAAAAGTAGCATATTTCATGGCTGGTACTTTGATAGTTACTGATGGTCCTCAGTCTTTAGTCTAGTTAGTAGCAAGTCTTCTTTTTGGGCCACCAAGTGCGGTATTTATAATGCGGTGCACTTTGCATGCAAAGTGTATGCAAAGTGCAGGACCAAACACTGCTGGCGCCGGTCGGCGTCTGCCAGCAAATTTGCTGCACTGTGCTGCTCAGTGTCCATCACTACTTCACTGGTAGCCAGTCAGCTTGGTACGCTTGGTCTTCTCTGCCGGAGAATGGCTGATAGTTCAGTGAAAGAGTGCACCGGCAGCATCAGTAGCAGCATCGCATTGACTCATTATCGCATTCATCCTCTTGAAA